TATATGATTTAGTATTTTAGTTAGTTAATTTATTAAGTATTTTATTTATTTATTATTTTTGTTCACATATGTTTTTCCAAAATTAGACATAGGTGGACAGGAAGGTTTGAAGCTCACCTGTGGGATAATAGTTGCAGAAGAGAAGGGCAAAGTCGGAAGGGCAGACAAGGTTCATACACCACTTTTTATATATAATTACACATTATGAATTAGGGTTATATAGTTTGAAATGGATCTTTTATTCTTGAACAGTATATCCCAATCTCTAATCTCGAATTATTAGTGCAAAACAAAGAAAGAAAAAAAAAAGTTTTATTAACCCGCTAAACTATTCTACCGGGATTCGTAACCGTTAAGTTATCATGTAACCGTTATGGATAGTTGATCTAACGGTTATAAATTTCGACAAAATGGTTCCGCAATGGAACCATAGAATCTCCATATTGATACATCAATATTCTTATTTATTTATTTCTTTATTGATTTATATTTGCAAAGTGAATTGACTGACGTACGTATTTGTTTCTCTTTTCTGGAACACGGCGAATGATTGTTCAATGGACTATTTATCATTTTGGCAAAACATTTCAGTTTATTTAGGTAAGTTACTAAATTGGTATTTTTTTTTTTCTCGGTACTTACTAAATTGGTGTTTTTATTTTATTTAATCATATGATTCGGTAATAATAATAATAATTAAAAAAAAAAAGGTGGATATGATAAGGAAGAGAAAGCAGCTCGAGCTTATGATCTTGCGGCCCTCAAGTACTGGGGTCCGACCACCACCACCAATTTTCCGGTGAGTCGAAATTAATTTCGTGCTCGGTTATAAAATTATTTATTGTTGTTGATTAATTATATAAGATAATAATTACCAATAAATTTTTTTTTTTTTTTAATGAGGCATTATTTTGGTGTGAAGGTAACAAATTATGGGAGGGAGCTTGAAGAAATGAAACATATGTCCAGGCAGGAATTTGTTGCTGCACTAAGAAGGTTTTTTATTTTTTATTTATTTATTTATTTATTTATATTTATTTTCATCTATCCCAAGTGTTTCTATTTAGCTAATATATGTTATTTAAATGTAGTTTTATTATTATTATTATTATTATTATTCAGGAAAAGCAGTGGGTTTTCTAGAGGCGCCTCCATTTACAGGGGAGTCACAAGGTTATTAATTTGTATAATTAATTCATTTCTTTATTACTACCTCCTATTTTTATTTTTAATATATGTCGTTTTGAGAAGCTGCACGTTAATTAAAAATATTTTTTTTTGTCGATATTAACCTTATTTAATGAAGATAGAGATGAATGTTTTGAGAAAAAAGTGAAGAGTGAATATAAAAAGACGTAATGTATTTATTGGTTAAATGAGGGTAATAATGGAAAAATATGTACAAAATATCTTTGAAAATAATTAATAAAAATAGAATGACATTTAAAAAATATAGAAGGGAGTATTATTTATAATTTTTCTCAATTAATTTGAACAAAATTAAATTCATGTTCAGGCACCACCAGCACGGCCGATGGCAAGCAAGAATTGGAAGAGTTGCTGGCAATAAAGATCTTTATCTTGGCACTTTTAGTAAGCATTTCTCTCTCGTCATATTTTTTTTTCTTTTTTTTTTTTCATACACTACCGAAAAATTGTTATATTCCAACGGATAGTAATATTTTCCAATAGAAATTCTAACGGATATTCCAATGGTATAACTTCTGTTGGAATGTGGACCAACGGAAATTCCAGTACAAATATTGCGTTGGAATGTGTTTTTCGTATGAATTTTAGATGGAATTTGATGATTCCAACAATTATATTTCCAACGCCTTTTTACCTTAGAAATTTTCGTTGGAATATGTAAATTTCGTTGGAATTTTAATTTCCACCCCTATTGGAAAATTCACCGTTGGAATCGTCAAAATCCAACAAAAATTTTAATGGAAATTCATTCCAACGAAATATTTTGTTGGAAATTTCGTTGGAATCCATTGAAAAATTTCAAAACAAATAATAGTTTTGAATTATCCGTTGAAATTGTCGTTTGATTAATTCTTTTAGATAGATTTCCTTTGAATTTCATTATTTTCTTGTAGTGATTTTCTTGTATTGATATGATCATAATTTCATTATTATAAACTAAACATTGAGAAAAAATGAAATTTGACAAATAAAATAATAAAGGAAATTAAAGGAAAATCAAAAGAAAATTAATTCTTTTTTTTTTTGGTACAAAAAGAAAATTAATTCTGCCTGTACTGATAGGTGTCCACAAAATTGGGTCAAACCGCAACTAAATAAATAGTTAAATTGCACACAGATAATATGTTACTTTGATTTTTTTTTTTTTTTTTTTT